TCGAGCTCTGCTGAAGAAGTGGGCAAATGATCCGGAGGCACCGGGAGCTCTGCCCGGAACAGCAGCCACCCGCAATACCCTGGATGGAATCGACTGGGCCCTGCTCGCGGCAGAGGAAGGAGGGATAGCCAACATGGATGAAGCCCTCCGAATGGTGCAGCAGCTCAACGAAGCAACAAATTCATGGAAGAGCTCATCGCCTGGCTCAGAGACAAACTCGCAGAGGAAGCCAAGGAGGGGAGCCCTTCCCCTAAGAAGCGGCGGGTGGAGAGAGCCACCGGCAGCATGCAGCCACCGCAGTTTTTGCCAAATGATGATGATGGTGCTGGACAAGGACAAGGACTTCTTCGCGCAGGACCCGATCCAGATCTGCGACTACAAAACGACCGACCTCCTCTTCAACGCCTCCCACGAGGAGCCCCCGAACAAGTCGGAACGGACACAGGCCTACCGAAAGCACTGCAGAGACTGCAAGGGGAGTTCCCCCTACCTATGGATCGTGGCAGTGGAGGTGACGCCACCCCGTACCATGTGCTAAGGGTACAACAAATCCTGGAGGGTGCACTGCCTTTCTTAGAGCAGGAGGTTGCAGCAACACTGGCAGAAGCGCACTCCCTGCTCTTCGGCTGGGGTGCGCCCGTGGTCATGGTGGAGCCCACGCAGCAAGAAGCAGCGCCGCATGCGGGGGAGAGCCCCGACTCTGCTGCCGAAACGGTGCCTTGGCACCCTCAGGACCCGCTCTGGCACCCGTGTGACCCACAACAGCACGGAATGCACCCGGCAGCAGGGGAGGGGACCCTACAGAACGACACCCAGAGCCAAAGTTCGCATAGACGACGCAGAATGCACTCGCTCTTCCACGACTGAGCCAACCCGGAGTGAAAGAGCAACCAAGCTGACAGTGAGTGAGCGCCTGCTGTACAGGGGGGCCCCCTCTTGACCTTCGAGTTCAGGTTGCTTTGTCTTTGGAAGGTTCGGAGGGCTGAAAGGCGTTGCTGAGACTCGAGGTTTCAGGCCCAGGCACCTTTTGATCTTTGTAAGGTTTGAGTTGAAACCCGGATTTCCACAGGGGGAATTTCCTCTTTGGCCTCTTTCAGCGTTGTAGGGTGAGGTGTTTTGGTCTACGAAAGGCCTAACATCTTTTATGATTTTACCATTGTGCCGCAGTGTGGGAGTCATATGGCCCTGTAGCCCTCTTCGGAACGCCACCATGGATTGCATCAACTATGTTGCTACTACAGACAATGGCAACTGACAGCGGGGGAAAATACCCCGCATAGCCGATGACAGTGATGACCTGTAATGTTTTATGTGCTTCTTATGTCATCGTGTGCAATGGCAGTGAAATCGGCAGCTGATGCGAATCCAAGAGGCACAGCAATCAAGTTGCATTTCTACCCTTGTTTCCCTTTCTGCCTTCATGTTGCACTCTGCTGTTGACTGGATACCCGATGCCTCGGTGGAGTAGTTGCGTCTTTCCACCCCCTCCAAAACGGTTGGGGGCGCGACAGCGCGCGGGCTAGGGGAGCTCCCCTAGTCCACAGCCCTAACGAAAGAAAAGAGACAGAGAGGGAGCGCAGAGGGGTAGGGGTCCTCCCCTGCACCTCAAACGGCGTGCAAGCAAGCAAGCAAACAGAGAGAGAGAGAGAGCGAGAGAGAGAGAGACAGGTCAATAATAGACAGCAACATGACAAAATATTGAGAGTTGTTCCTAGCAATTCTTGCGGCCACTGATCGAACATGCCACAAACAGCCAGGCCTAGAAGCACCTGCAAACGATGGGAGTCCAATCCTAAACAGCATGACGGAAAACATTACGACATCCCAGCAACTTCAACCATCAGTGGAAATCTTAGCAAACCCTATTCCCATACAGGAGTCAATGCCAAAATACCTTTTGTGTGTTGATTCTGACGAGGTCGTGGCAGTTGGCTTGGAGAAGTGGACTGCTGGCAGCTCTCCCCCAAGTTGCAGAATCTGGTCACGTGTTCAATCGCACGGCACTGGGTACATGCAGGTTCTGACCAAGTTCAGGACAGCTCTTGATCCTTTTGTCCGATGGAAGTGCAGAACTTGGGCAGTCCCGACAGGAAGAGAAGTGGCCCGAAACTGGGTGCGGTGTCCTAACCTGCAGCATACAGGGCACAGTGCCCGCCGCATGCACAAGCGAGTACCGTGAACTCGATCATGCTTCTTGATAGTGGAGCTTCTCGGTCAATTTCCAAGTCTGTGCAGGGGTGGTGTATGCTTTAAACTTCGTTTCTCCGTGTCCACGCAAAGACTTTGCACTCTATCATCCAACCTTAGATTGAGTTTGTTGTGTAGCCCCAGAAACAGGCGGCGACAGTCGTGATTCAACAAAATTTCAAGGCTTCGACATGGCCGTGGCCGCTGTTTGTATGTGCTGTAGATGAAGGCTGGTCGAGGTGAGGCCATCAACCACGAATGGGCCGGAACTGTTGGAACTTGAGACCGCTTCCTAGGATGAGAGAGTCTCTAGGAGGGTTACCATTTTCACAGTTTCCTTTCTTTTGTTTCATTGGTGCAACACCCGCCATTTTCTTGAGAGCAACGGATGTACGCAAGGCAGGTGAAGGGTCGGCCTCAGCTTCTGGAACAAACAAGATGGCGATGCGCAGCATCACTGACTCTGACAGTTTTGCTTTCCTCGGTGTCATACGTGCAGCCTAGGCAGTGTCACGCTTACGACAGGCTCCGTCCGTATTTCTCAGAAGTTGCAGAGAAGCTGTGCCCTCCCTTTCAGTCGGCTCAGGCTGTTTGCTAAGGTCCGGAGCCCGAACGCCCTGTGAAAGTCGCAGTCTCTCGTCTTTTGTGCTCCAGGTGGCACTTCCGCTGTTGGCCAGCAAGAAAATTCCGTGGGAAGCCCCACCGCTGCAAGCAGTGCAACACTGAGTCGCAACGTTTCTGGTAGTCGGACTTCCAACGTTGCAGGAGCAAACTTCACGTGATGCAGCCCGCATAGCTCCCCATTGCCTCGTTGTTGTGCTTGTCCAGCTTCGTAGCCCGGTGCTTCAGCTCAGGTTCGCGGGCAAGGCGAGTGCTGCACTCTGTGTGTGCTTGAGTGTGTGGGAAACCCCGCTTCAGCAGAGTTTTCGCTGCAAGGGCGGCTTTTGCCTGCAGTACTGGATGCGGCCCAGGCTTCTGACCCTCAGCAACCATGTTATGCTAGTAGCATAATGCCTTTCAGGAGCAGGAAGGCGTTTTTATTTTACATATTTCGAAAACAGTGCTTCATGCAGCAGCTGAAATCAGCACATCACTTTATGACATGCTTCTGATGCAGCAGCAAGCCACAGACAAACTCGGTTCGAGATTCCGAAAGGACTGTTGTGGCGTGTAAACTGCAGAAGTTTTGAAGGATGTGAAGCTGTGATAACCAGCCGCAGCAGATTTTCTCCACCTTCTTCTTCAGTGATATCCCGCCCCGCTTTTCTAAACCAAGGCCCGAGTCGGAGAATAGAATCTCCTGATCCCCACAAGAAGAACAGCCCGGAATCGTAAGGAGGAGTGCAGAGCATAGCCAAAACACCAAGCAAAACCAACATAACCAAAGAAACCAAGCACACCGAAGAAATCAGACAGCACCAACAAAGCACCAGCATAACAAAAAAATCAACAATCAAACGCACCAAACCTATTTCGTGTATAGGGCTGTTTTTTTTTGTGTGTTTGTTTCTTTTGTTTTTTGTTAGTATTTTTGTTCTGGGCTTCTTTTGCCCACCGTACAATCCCATGCCCCATGTCCCAGGCACTAGTTTCCTCTGCGACACTCTTTGTGCACAGAAGGTCTGTGTAAGGATTTCCGTCGTCTTAAGGTTTTACGCCAACCCATCAATACTGTTAGTCGTTCGGGAGAAGGTGTGGGTCTTGCAATTTAAAGGTTCTCGCAGATCGGGCTCATGAAGGTGTATGGGAGGAAGATGTCAGCTTCAGGTTTGGCTTTGGGGTTCAGGGGGGAGTTAAGTGAGTTTAAGAGTTTGTGTGGTGTTATGAACCTCTCAGATGTTCCTTCGTTCTGTGAGCGAAAGCTCATGCGATACATTTCGGCAGAGAAATGTCTTGGGCGAGCTGAAACTGTGGTTTTAGGGTTTAAGAATTTCGACTGACAGTACCTGAGTGAAGGTGTACTCAGGCACTGTCCCGGAATTTTGGCCCTTGGGTTGTCGAGTTTGTGTCTCAAGGTTCCGGAATTGGGATACGCTGTCCGCGGCACAGTTCCTGAATCTCGGTTTTTCCTGAATCCCGGTTCCTGAATCGACCACACAGTTCCTGAATTTGGTTCCCGAATTGCTTGTCACCCAGAAAACATCTATCATAGTCATGCAAGCCACGACACCTCTTGTCTCAAGATATCCCCACATGCATTGCACTACAAGCAGAGACATGCTTTTTAAATTGGGCGAAAGCCGCAAAGACGGACACTCAATATTACACGTTTTAAAGATGCTTAACCAAAACGATTCCAGCTTCAGTAAAAGACAGCGAGAGTGGAGATCTTAAGACAAGAGGTCGTGGTCAAGTTGGCAAAAGCATCGCCCCGGAACACAAGGAAGCCAAAGAGTTTACCAACGAAGGCCAGGATGCGCCGTGTCTCCTGGTCGACTCGCGCCAATCTGGTTAATCACACAGACGGGGGGCACTCTTCTTACATCGCAGGAGCTGATGCGCTCGCGGTGCTTTGTGCCCACGGAGCTCCCGGAGCTCGCAAGCGACTCCTCACCTGGACTCTTAGCGTTTCTGCCCGAGAGAGGGATGCCAAGCTTTCCTTCGTTTCTTTCATAGAAACACTTTACAAGGAGTCCGTTAGCTTGTATGGCGTGGCGCCCGGAGCCAAGAAGCTTGCATCCGGCCTTGCGCGAATGCCTGTTCGACACATGGTCGGAAGTAGGACTTTCATTCACAGCCGAGTGGAGTTGTGACATTCCATTGCCACTGAATGCGCAGCCATCTAATTCGAGTCCCATTTAGTCGGGGGCACCATGCCGCGCGAGCAAGATGAGGAGGGACTGCTGCCCGTTCAGGACAACCCTGAGAAACATTCGACCACCTGCAAGTGGCTTTCTTGCATCAGCTTTGTCATCTTGTTAGCAGCTGTGGTCCTCTTCCGGGGCTCGCAGACACCAAGCACTGCACATGTTGCAGATCTTTCAAAGGTGCTCGACGATTGGGCACCTAGCTCTCGGGACGAGGTTCTACCCAAGAAGAAGTGGGCCAAGGTTTTCCATGTTCAACATCCGAACTCTTCACTCGGGTCCAAGCGCTACTACCAGTACTCTCACCACCCAGACTTTGTCAGGGAAAGTGCGGCTATGGAGGAGCTCTTGAAATGGCAGATCTCACATGATTGTCCGAAGCAGTCCGTGGGCATGGACATGGTCACAAGCCATGACCTCCCAGTTGTTGAGGATGTGGCGTCGGCCAGCATTTGTCAAAAGATATGCACCGAAACTGCTGCGTGCGTGGCATTTGCCTGGGCTTCCCAGCGGAACCGTACCAGAGTGACTGGTCGATGCTTCCGAAGGGCATTCAGCAAGCCTTTCGAAGAAGTGCAGCCATCCAAGAACCCCGACGTTGTCGGAGGCCTGCCTTGCTTTCGCCAAACTGTGAAAGACAGGATGTGGTGGCCAACGGAAGAGATGGACTATTTCGACATGCCTCAGACGCCTCCAAAGGCACCTTCCCTGCACACCTCAACAGCCAGAACTTTTTGCTTTGCAGTCTTTCTGCCGTACTCGTACGAACAGGAACTACTTGTGATGCAGTACCGTTTCGGTGCCAACATTTTCGCATGCGACCAGAATGTCATCTATAGCTCTGCTCGCCTTGAGCTGGCACCCGGTCTCGTTTCGCGTCAGGTCTCCAGCACCTTGTTGTCTGAGTTGGGCGGCCCCTACATCACGGTGCTGAACCTGGGCGCCTTCATGGCAGTGTGGCGACAGGTCCTCCTGGACGGTGACTACCTAGAGTGTGATTGGACCATCAAAGCAGATCCTGATACGGTCTTCATTCCCCAGCGCTTGGTGCCGATCCTGAAGTTGCAGAGCCTGAGCATGGGAGAGAATGGGAAGTATCTGAACAACTGCCAGGATGGACTTCATGGCCCTTTGGAAGTATTCTCGCAGGGGGCGCTGCGAAGCCTTGGGCGCCATGCCCTTCGATGCGCTAGGGAGTTGGACGGCGGCGAGGAGTGCTTGGAGCATTGCGAGAAGTTCTGGGCTTTCGACTACGTGGAAAAATGCAATGGACATTGCACAAAGTGGTGGGGTGAGGATATTTGGATGGATCAGTGCTTGTCACGATTTGCTGACGTGACACGGGTTTTTGTGCCGAAGCTCCTGATTGAGGACCACTGCCACCCCAAGCCAGGCTGGAGAAACTGCCTTGACCCGGACACGGTGGCTTTTCATCCGTTTAAGAGTTTGCATGAATATGAGACTTGCCTGGGGGCTGCTCTCAACAGGCAGGTACTGCTCTAGAGGAGCGCACAGAATGCCCGCTTTGTAGATCAGTAGCGTTGCTAAGCAACCGCGAGGTCGACCTTAGGCATCCGGCACTGTACGTTTGAAAGATAAATTAAAGATACCAGATTTGCACCGATTCTTGTGGAGTTCCCAAGACTTTGCCATGCCATGCTCTTGGCAAACTTTTGAGGTTGCGTGTTCATCTCTTTTTGACCTCGCGGCTTGGAGCGGTGTCTTGGCATGTCTTGGCCTGCCTGGGCCTATAGTCAAAGGGAAACTCGAAGGGAGAAGGGATGCTTTTCAGGAGCGTGCGCTGGCGTGGGCACAGCCAGAGGCTGAGAGTTCTATGGGAGCTCTCACTTTGCGGATTGCGCTGGGAGCTTCCCCTTCTCGTGCGAAGAGCTTTCGCGGTAAGGTTCTTGATGAAAGGCTCCGATCTTCTTGGTGGACTGCCCTGCTTCTGTGAAGGACTTCTCGGATGTATGCTAAGAGTGGTGAGTGCAAGGATCTCGACAGTGCGCCCTGCGTGCCCAAAGTCATGCCCTCAGAGCTTACCGCAAGGAAGTTTCACACACAGACACACACTTAGGCTTGGCAAGAACTGATGAGGCGAACCTCGAGCATCCTAATGCAATGACAGATTACAGCAACCGTACAGAATCATTGAGGCCAATGATGGAAACAACAGCGTTTTTTTGCGTATTTTGGGCTGGCCTTCCCTCTCTGATGCACAGCTTCGTTGGGTACAGTAGCATCAGACAGCCGTACCCCCCTGCAGTCTGCTGTAATAAAATACTTGATTCACCATGTTCAAGTGTGCACACACACACAGAGGCCCCGGCGTACCAGGGCTGTCGCATCCGAGCTTAATTTTCGACAGGAGCTCAGGTCAAGCAGTGCGAACGCAAATGACTGTGAAAAGCGGATTCAGGTCGGTGACCGGCCTTGTGTAGGGAATATGTTTCCCTTCCTGCTGAAATTGAAATGAAGACAACTTGGGGCTCCAACCATGGGCCTCCCAAATCATCCACTGCAGTCTTCTTTTTGCCTCGTCCACGGTGTCGTCTGAGCGGCACTGTAACTGGAACGTCATTTGTTGCCCCCATTGGTCCTGGGGCATTCTGATGTCGATGCGGATGCGGTTTTGACTCATCACGTAGCTGGGCATCCGTGGCGGTACGCTTCATGCCTAAGGGCTTGCTACAGGGGAGCTCGAAAAGCAAACTGAAAACGGCAATGTCATCACACGTCCAACAGAGCCGGTGGTGTAGAGTATGCATGCAAAGAGCCGATCATCACTGTCGAAGGCTTGCAACACAGATCAGCGCACATCTTATTTATTACTGAGGCTTCGGCATGGGTGCGAACTCAACAAAAGGGCAGCGTGAAACGTAAATGAAATGGCAGTTGCATCTTAGACCAGCGCGAACAAGCACTTTGGCACAGGATGTGGATTTTCGACGGCGGAGTAATCCTTCGCTCACTTCTGAAACTGGATGTGTTGATTCCGACTTTGAAATGTTTTCCATGAGACCTTCGGCTTCACTGGAGATGTCGGACAGGTAGTACAGGTCCGAGTCCGTGCTTGAGGCCGGAGTGACTTTCGTTTGATCGGACCGTTTGTCCTTCAAAGACCTGCGAGAGCTGCGGTTGTTGTGTTTTTTCCGCTCCTTCTTGGCTTTTTTCTTCTTCTTTTTCATGGTGATGTTAATCTTGCGCTTCTGCGTAGCTGCAGCATTATGAGGAGCTGGGGAATCAAACGCCGAATGCCATGAACTAGTATCATCAGAGAAGCACTGCTCATGGTGAGCATCACTTTTTTCATCCTGATGTGGAGAAATGGGAGGAGGCGAACATAAGACATGTTACTGGCAAAGAATGCACGACGATGAGGCTTTGTTGGGCAGCATGCACTTTTATTGCACGAATCATTGCACTGGGCTGCGAATAGGCAACAACTGCATCTCAGGAATCAAATCCGCATGATAGGTAAAACGATCATCCCAAGGGCCATGTGCCCAATAACAGACCAAATGACGTCTCTGCGACTGCAGTTGTAATCTGCGGTAATCCACCATGTTGCATCGCTGAGTGACTTGCGAAATTGAGCTGTTCCAGGATCTGCAAACGCTAGCAAGCACAGTCAGGTGTGGAAGGGCAGGAGACAAGTGTTCCAGGTGCACAAGAACATGCCCAGGTCGGACAAATGGCCGATGGGCAACGTACTGAAAGATGCCTGCTCTGGCTGTAATGGTACGACAGTGCAAGCGAAGCTGATCACTGACGTTTCTACCAAGTCGGTCAATTTGCAGCTGTCCTACCCTTGCTTGTTGCAGCGTAGGAGGGAACGGCGCGCGCAGCGAACTGCTAAAGCTCAAGGTGATCCGAATGAATCTCGCGGTAAAAGAAGAAAGAATGTTGGCTAAAGGCGACAAATCGGAATACGAGGTCATGGATTGCAGACTCATCACTCATGGCAACGAATCTGGAGGGGCTCTACAGCAAGAAAAGACTGCTGGAACCAATCTACGGGAGTGCAGACAGATCGGCAAAGGCATTGCACACACTGCAATCAGCCCACATATGCAGCCCTGCGAAGCACTCAATGATGAAGTGTACCAGTCGATAAATGCATGGTTCTGAGAACGTCCCGGGTAAGGATGCTCTGAATGGCAGGGCGTGATTCACGAAGAATCACAGCAAAACGAATTCAGAACAAATAGTACTGTTCAAACAGTACAAAGCCTTACCACGGCGTGCGGGACCGTCTTCTCTTACGAGTGGGGCTCACAGATGTGTCATTGGTAGTAGGTGAGGAGGAGGGCTGATTGGACGCATCGGCATGATGTGTCCGCCTGGTAGGCGTAACCTCCTCGAGCTTGGTTGCGAGCCATTGGTGATTCANNCACTGCCACCACCATGATTGTCCATCGGTACGCCAGGTCCATCGCCGCCCGGCAGGTAGGGGTGATCGGCTTCTATTGCGGTCTGACATGATACTATGGCTGCACGTAGAAAAAGGCTGCAAAGGCTCGTACAGGTAGCGAGTTACATGCAAGTCGCAAACGTTGACATGTCTGCACAATCTTGCACTCGTGCCGAGGTACGAGGT